AATCAGTTTTGTTGTGTGTTTCCTTGACTGATGAAGCCTTCCGGATCAAAGGCGAAACGTTTCAGCACAAAAAAAGAAACTGTGCAGATGTCCTGACTGAAAAACGTTGGACTACTTGATGTAGATTTTTACAGGTGAAAGAATGTAATTTCTGAAACTGTTACAAATTCAAACTACATGTTTGTGTTAACATCAAGCTTTTTCACTTGTGAAGAATAGATACTGTTTCAGCAATAAAACTTTACACAAGCACAAAATAAATAATTTGTGATTGTGCAAAGCTTAAACTTCTAACTAAAAACATACGAGAGAAATGTTTTAAATGTGCAGTTTTCATCCTGGACCAGTGTCTGACCAAAAGACTGACAAAGGTGGCAAAACATGTGCTCACATCAAAGCACGTCTTTACTAGCTGTAATTTATTCTTTGGCTGTGTGTAATTACCATCAACACATATCCTGTTTCTGGTGCTGCTTGTTGGGTTCCACTACCTCAAAGCTAATACTCTCACCACAGGTACCAGGACAGAGGTCAGCAGAGGCAGTCTAACTTTTGAAGTGAACTCGATTCAAGATGGCTTCCACAGCTAACGAACCTTAGAAAACACAAGGATGGCTATTACCCAGTCAGTTTACAGATAATGAGCTGACGTTTTTCTTAGGACCCACTCTCTTTACAATCTACATAGGGTAATGTAGGTCAGAGCATCCTTGGTGCATCCTTACATTTCTATGCTGATGACACAGTTGTTTATTATCGAGCTAAAATAGTTGCTAAGGTTTTCCAGCTTTTGCAATCCGCCCTTGACATCAACCAGTCAGACTTGCTCTATCTCAAACTTGTCCCAAATGCTGATAAAACCAAAGGGATGCTTTTTTTTTTCAAACAGGAAATCAATCCCAGTACCTCTTCCTCTGATTTTATCCTCAAATAGTGTCCCTATTGAGTTTGTTGATGCCTATAAATATTGGGATATCTTGGTCAATTCACAGCTCTCTCTTTTAAGCTTCACGTGGAAAACCTAGTAAAGAAACTGAAAGTTAAACTGGGTTTCTTTTTCAGAAATAAATCCTGTCCAACTCTGAATGTTAGGTATGTTAGGAAACACCTTGTAACTGCGACTTTCCTTCCCTCTGACTACGGTGACATTATCTACTGTATACAAACGCTCCTACGAGCTCCCTGCAGATGTTGGATGCTGTCTATCATGGTGCACTAAGATTCATAACTGGCTGTGATTATCGTACCCACCACTGCACCCTGTATTCACTGGTTAACTGGACATCATTAACTTCACACAGACTCTCACTGGTACATTTTCATCTTAAAATCACTTCTTGGTCTGCTGCCTTCATACATCTCCTCCTACGTGTGCAGCTACAGCGTGTGTTCCCAGGACATTATTACCTGCAGTGTTCCCTCAGTGAGGACTGAACCTGGCAAAAGGGCCTTCTCCTACTTTGCTCCTGTTTCCTGGAATATCTTGCAAAAAGATCTGAAGCTCTCAACCCTGACCTCTCTAAGTGGCTTCAAACATCTGTCAAGTTCCTGGCAAAAGCCAATGCAGACATGTTCCTGTTTTTAGTTTTCTACACCACTTTATAATCTAGCTGTTTTTTTTTTTTGTTTGTTTTTTTGCTACTTTTCCTTTAGACCGTCCTTATGGTTGCTATTTTGTTTTGATTTGTAAAAAAAAAAAAAAAAAAAAAAAAAAATTAAATTTGTATGCTTCTTTTATGACTGTGTATTGTTGTCGCTGTTGTCCACTGTCGTCATCATTCTTTGTTAAAATCAGATCTCTCGTGTAAATGAGTCTCCGAGGCTCAATATAATTGACCTGTTTAAATAAAGGTTGAATGAAACAAAAAACATTGGTGTAATTATAGCTTATAACTATCCACAGCAAAAACTTTAGGCACTAACTAAACATCAAGATCTACGATTAGAACGTTGCTAATAACTATTTGACTCAACTCTGTCTGTTAGCAAAATAGCTCATCAGCCACTGGATGAATTTCTATAAAACTCCCAGAAAGTAATCATTGGATGAACATCTGCGCCCCATCTTTTGAAGTTACGCAACTCAAGTTAGCTGCCACAGCTAATCCATCCATTATCTTTACCTTTTTTCAAGTCTCTCTTGTAAATGAGTCCCCGAGGCTCAATGGGATTAACCTGTCTAAATAAAGGTTGAATACCCGCTTCTTCCTTCCGGGTCGCAGGGGTCACTGGTGCCCATGTCCAACAGTCACTGCAAGAGGCTGGGGACACCTGGACAGGTCTCCAGTCCATCACAGGGACACAAGGAGACATGTTCTGGCTCCAGGTTCATGCTCAGTCATCCAGGTAAAAAATCCATCAATGTTCAGTCAGGTCATCTGGACATCTGTCCACTGAAGAAACTGTCCGGATGACCTGACTGAACATTGTTGGATTTTAACTGATATAACTTCGCCAATTTTACAGATATGCAGATATGGGGGAGTGGTGGTGCAGAGGTTGGAGAAGGTGGGCCTGTGATCGGAAGATCGCTGGTTCAAGCCCCGGTACCAACATCATCAAAAATGTGGGTGGGGTAGGTGAAGCACCCACACCTGCCTCTACCCTCATTCGCCCCACTCTGGGCCCATGAGCAAGGCCCTTAACCCCCATCTGCTCCTAAACAGGTCTCTCTTGAAAATGAGTTCTCGTGGCTCAATGAGACTACCTGGATAAATAAAGGTCAATGGAAAAAATATGCAGATATCATGCTAAACTTTTTTTTTGTCTTATCAGCTGAGTCATCCCCATTAAGTACGCCAGTGCTTACAAATCGTGCAAGATTTTGTGTTTGATGCGATAAGTTTAAATTTACTTTCAAGATTTTACTGAAGTGGTTCTAATTCCATAATTTCTCCTCATAAGATGGTCTTGGTGTAAATCTCTGGCATTATAGGCGGGTGAGATGCACTCCTTTAAGGAATTATAAAACATTTTTGTGTGCTGGTTTATAATGGAGCTAACTTTGCATTGTGTTCTATTAACAGTAGCTAGTTATTAGTTTTAAATAAAACTGTACAGTATAGTATTTTTTTATTCATATTTATGTGGAACAGAAGTTTATCCGTTCAAACATGGATAAAATCTGAGATATGGAGAAGTTGGTTGTTCCTCCTGCAGCTGCCACATCCTCAGGCTGTGTGAAAATGACACATGAGGTGCAGGCATGTTGTTCATTTGCAGAGAGGCCATAAAACAAAAGAAACAGCCAATCAGAAAACCCCAGAGGAGGAAGTCTGTAATGACTCAGTCTACCAGGTGACTGGAAGCCATCAGCGTTTAAACGTGTGGACTATAATTAAGGAAACATATGTAGGGGACTTCCCATGGCACAGTAGGTGGAAAAGCTGAACTACCCTCATAAATACAAACAACAAAGCAATAGACTTTGTCCCCCCCCACCCCACCCCACCCTCCATCCTAAATAATTACAGTAAAAACCCACACTGACAATGCTCCTGAGTCGGAAGTGCTAACGCTGTGATCAAACTTTATTTTCCACAGTTTGTCCACAAAGCTGGGAACAGAAGGACGTGGAGCATCGTTGTGAGCCATGGCGGATCCTGTGAACCCTTCACATGCTACATTTGACCTTTTTGTCCAAGCCAAGACATGTCAGGAAGTGAAAAAACACTTCATCGAGCTCTGCCGGCAACTGCATATTGATCCTAAAGATTTTAGGAGCTTCTACACAAAAATAAAGGAAAGACTGAACTACTGGAAGGCCAAAGCTTTATGGACCAAGCTGGACAAGAGAGCATCTCAAGAAGCTTACCAGCAAGGAAAAGCCTGTCTCAAAAACAAGGTACAGTCCATCACAAGGTCTTTAATGTGTGTTTAAATGATTATTGTCATGGTTTTTAACATGTTCCTGTATTTTTTGTTCTGAGTGGATAAAACATTTCTTCATCTTTAAATTTGGTTGACAGTAGAGATGCACAGATATTTGCTCTGTAGGCCAGTACTGATTCTGATTCGTGTACAGCTCTGACGGGCTTCTTTCAAATGTCTGTAATTAGCATAACATTGTGGTGGTGATCCTGCTGCAGTGTATTCACCGGGTTCGGTCTGTGGAGGAGTAACTTTAAAGATTAAACATGCTTTTATTCTGAGTGTGGATTGTCACGCGTGCCCAGCACACAAAGTAACAAAAGTAGGAATTAACCTGTAGCCAGACAAAATTCTGAGAAGAAATAAAACATTAAGCACATTCAGACGGCATTGTTGTGTAAAAATGTTTAAAATTACCTATCCAAGGCCGATATGTAGCTGGATTAATCTTTAATCCCAAATAAGTGCTGGGTTGGTGCAGCAAGTAGCCAGATGTTTTCTGTCCATTCGTCTCCAAACATTTACAAAGTACTTTCTACACAAGAGCCTCTGAAAGCATGCACGTTGTTATATAAAGGTTATGTTTACTTGTACTCTGGGTTATATGTTGAGGCGTCAAAGGACTCGCCTGTCTGTGTTGTGAAAACTACAGTGGTTCAGTGGTGTTCGTCAAGCCTCATGAACTACTGGGCCTTGATAAGAGGGACTGATTTATCAGTGCCTGGGCAGCTGTAAAGCTGGATAGGTAAGAGCAGATTTATTTGTATTCTTTGTGCTGGTAGTTGAGTTGTTGTTTGCTGATGATGCTGTCTTTATATTCACTCAACCAGGTGAGGTGGAAGGCTGTTACCAGTTCAGTCACCACATAATGGTGCAGTTTAGGATGTGTCAGGGTTACTTAAGTTGACACTTAAAACAGAATTATCAAAATAAATAAAAATATAGTTGTAGTAAAATGCAGGCCACATGTGGTGGTGCACTAAAAGCTCACAGTTGAAGTTATTCATTTTGTCAAGTAACATCATCAACTTAGTTTCTTCTTTTTCTGTAAGAATTCTAAAAATAATTGATGCTTAATCTTTGTGTACATCCATTTGCACTTGTCTGCATTTTGATTATATTAGTTTTAACGTCTTGTTATAAAGTGTATTAAAAACACAAAACAGGTTAAATCATGTCATCTGGACAGTTTCTTTCAGGGAGAAACTTTTCATCTGAAAGACTTCATCAGTCTGAGGCCTGTCAGTCAACGGGAGGTTGGCTTGAAACACGTCAATGAGGTGCTACAATGAGACAGATCTGGGCACAGACTCATGACGTCTTTCAGATGAAAGATGAAATGTTTCTCCCTGAAAGAAACTGACCTGATTTAACCTGTTTTATATCTACCTGGATGATTGAGCTTAAAAACCTTTTTTTTAATTAAAAACACTTCAACAACTCAAGAAAACATTTCCAAAATTTTATAAATATTGACAAATTTATTCTAAAATACAGCAAAAAGTGTTTCAGTGTTTTGGTCCTAATCAGAAGCTCCTTTGAATGAATTTTGAGAAGGTTTATGTGATCAAACATGTGATTTATTGTACTGCTGAATGAACACAATGTTGACTTTGTATGACATTTGATACTGTATTGGTTACAAATGTTTCCCAAAACATTTGAGTTACAAATAAATTCGGAGATTGGAGTAAACATCAGTTTATGTTTAGAAAGAGTAAATATAGTTGTACACTGCCAGACACTCTAACTGAGATCAAATCAAACATTGCTTTCATTAAAGTGGTTAATACCTCTGGAGGGCTTAAAGTTTGACGCTAACCTGCTTTATTTATTTGTTTCTCATTCTTGCCTGAATCTGTTGTTGTTTTCTTCCTCTCAGTGTTTGGTGCTGGGTGCTGGCCCATGTGGGCTGAGGACAGCCATCGAACTGTCCCTGCTAGGGGCTCAGGTGGTGGTGCTGGAGAAGAGAGGGGAGTTCACCAGGAACAATGTTCTCCACCTGTGGCCCTTCACCATCTACGACCTCCGAGAGCTCGGAGCCAAAAAGTTCTATGGCAAATTCTGCTCTGGCTCTCTGGATCACATCAGTGAGTGACTTTTACTGTTCAAAGTGCAAAGTCTACAAATATGACACATGGAAGGAGCTTTCATATGACCCTGGTTAATAAGTTTTAGTGTTCTGTTAGATAGTCCCTTTTATCAGAATCCTTTACGCCATGGAGCAATTTAACACCAGAAGATATTTGTTGCCTCCCATTGCAGAGCGAAGAGAGGGAATTGGAAATTCCCTCCATCTATCCATCTGTCCGTTCATGCTGTGTGCATGATGACTTGAAAAATAATTCAGGTACCAACTTCCATTTTGGTCTGTGGCTTTGTCAAGGTGTAAAAGTTCTTGTGTTGCCACATCCAAATCCAAGATGGCTGCCACTATATAGGTACAGTAGGCCCTTGTTTATCGTGGGGGTTACGTTCCACACACACCTGCGTTAGGTGAAAAACTGTGAAGTAGGAATGCTATATTTATTTTAGTATTTATAGGCTTTATAAATCCTTCCCCCACTCTTGTAGTGTTCTTTACAATGTTCTAAACTCTTAAACATACATAGTTTTAACAACATACGTATATGTACTGTACAGTACTTCAAAACTTTACTCACCAGCTCTGCAGACCAGCAGCTCAGTTCTGGTTCTGCAGACCTACCCTGCAGGTGTTATGAGAGCCCAGGTTGCTCTGATAGTGACCTTCAGCTCTTCTAAATTGGTGGGCCTGGTGTATCGCATCTTCCTCTTCACAATACGGGGATACGGTCAGGTGAGTTTGCTGGTCAATTAAGAACAGGAATACCATGGTCCTTTAAACCAGGTGCTGGTAGCTTTGGCACTGTGTGCAGGTGCCAAGTCCTGTTGGAAAATGAAATCTGCATCTCCATAAAGTTGGTCAGCAGCAGGAAGCATGAAGTCTCTAAAACTTCCTGGTAGATGCTGCGTTGACCTTGGACCTCAGAAAACACAGTGGACCAACACCAGCAGATGACATGACACCCCAAACCATCACTGACAGTGGAAACTTGACACTGGACCTGAAGCAACGTGGATTCTGTGCCTCTGCTCTCTTCCTCCAGACTCTGGGACCTTGATTTCCAAAGGAAATGTAAAATTTACTTTCATCAGAGAAATTGACTTTGGACCACTAGGCAGCAGTCCAGTCCTTTTTGTCTTTAGCCCAGGTGAGACGCTTCTGACGCTGTCTCTGGTTCAAGAGTGGCTTGACACAAGGAATGCGACAGCTGAAACTCATGTCTTGCATATGTCTGAGCATGGTGGTTCTTGAAGCACTGACTCCAGCTGCAGTCCACTCTTTGTGAATCTCCCCCACATTTTGGAATGGTTTTTTTTTCACCATCCTCTCCAGCGTGTGGTTATTTCTGTTGCTTGTACACTTTTTTCTTCCACATCTTTTCCTTCCTTTTGTCTCTCTATTAATGTGCTTGGACACAGAGCTCTGTGAACAGCCAGCCTCTTTAGCAATGACCTTTTGTGTCTTGCCCTCCTTGTGCAAGGTGTCAATGGTCGTCTTTTGGACAACTGTCAAGTTAGCAGTCTTCCCCATGATAGTGTAACCTACAGAACTAGACTGAGACCATTTACAGTCCTTTGCAGGTGTTTTGAGTTAATTAGCTGATTTGAAATATATCAGTCTGTGTGTAATGAATGAATACAATATACAAGTTTTACTTTTTGAATGGAATTACTGAAATAAATCAACTTGTTTATGATATTCTAATTTTATGATGTTCACCTGTATACTGGTGTGAAGCTGCTCATGACTCATATTTTAAATGACGTGGGTCAAGTTTTACTCACCTTAAAGACATGTACTGTAAGCACTCCTGTTGTTACAAATAGTTGTACGCTAATCAATATCTTTTAAACGGTTCATATCTTCATTGTCAAGCTAAATGGTAGATTTGCTGTGTTTTTTTTTTTGTTTGTTTTTTTACTTTTTATTTGACTTAGCCAAAATAAATCCTATGGCAAATTGTTGTTTTTCATATTCAGCAATGTCTGGTAAATATACAATAAAAACAAATTAAATGTTTTTATAATGTTCTTTTATGATTTCAGGCATCCGTCAGCTGCAGTTGATTCTACTGAAGGTGTGTCTTCTCCTCGGGGTGGAGGTGCACACCGAAGTGGAGTTCCAGGGTTTGATTGAGCCCACTGGTGAAACTGGTACTCCCTTTAACAACTGTCCTCATTTTGTTGCTGATTTATCAACTGCATTCATGATGCTCAGCTCATTCAGTGCCTGTTGGATGTCTTTGTGAAAGGTTGGATGGCCAAACTGCAACCTCAGAGTCATCCTGCAACAGCTTTCCAGTTCGACGTCTTCATCTCTGCTGGTGGAGGCAGGTTTGTCCCTCATGGTGAGACAAGCCCGTTTGGCACAGCCTGTTGTTGTGAATAAACTAAAATAACATAAATTGTTTCTTGGTGGGAGTAGGGTTTATATGTAATGTATGTATGCATGCATGCATCAATCAATCAATCAATCAATCAATCAATCAATCAATCAATCAATCAATCCGTTGTACTTTTTTTTTTTCTCTCTCCAAACTCAGGTTTTAAGCACAAGGAGATGAGAGGAAAGCTGGCTATTGGCATCACAGCCAACTTCATCAACGGGAACACTGCTGCCGAGGCGCAAGTAGCAGAGATCAGTGGTGTGGCCCGCATCTATAACCAGAAGTTCTTCCAAGAACTGCTCAATCAAACAGGTAGAAATTTGCATTAGACCTGCAGGTTTGTGATTTTTTTTTTTTTTGTAACAAAAGAAAATGACATTGAAAGTAAAAAAGTAATTAGGTTTTACTCTGTGAGCTGTGAGAAAATAGACTGGAGATGGGTCCCTTCTTAAGAAAACACCATTCTCTATTGAAATGTCTTCATCACACTTTAGCCACAACACCACAGAGACTCATTGCAGCAACACCCGTTTGAGTCATGTCTTGTGAGTTCTGCCAGTTTTAGGACTACGCTGAGCCACTTCATACAACTTCCTCATCTGCAGCGTATGCCTCTTTTAGGACAGGTTTTGTAGCTCTGCAGTAAACATAAGCAAACATATGTGGACTCATATTACGGCGATGAACCCTTGAAACTTAATAAACAAACAGTAAATGGACTGTACTTATATAGCACCTTTCTATCTTATCAAGCCACTCAAAGCTCTTTACAACAACCTATGTCCTCATTTACCCATTCGTACAGCTCTATACTAGATCTCTACAAAGCTAATTGAACAAATCATTCTAAAGAGACTAATCAGAGCTTGATCACATTCATACATTGATGGGACACACATCACAGGCAACGAGGGACACTTGGACATGTGACTGCTGGTGGATTTGAACCCCCAACTCTTCCACTGGAGGACAACTGCTCTAACCACTCAGCCACAGCCGCCCCAGTACTTACTCACATCAAAGGGAGCACATTTCATATTGAAAATTCTAGTTTTATTCTGAAACCCTTCTACTGCCCTTGCTGTGGTTCAGCAGCAGTTCACCCACCACCTGTTGGCTCTGATCTTACTCTAAGTTATGATCTTGTCATGCACTGAACTAGCTCAGTTTTGGATTTATGCATCATGTTTTATTTAAAATTTAACATTTGTTATGTTTAAAAAATTGCTAAACACTGTCTGAAATTTACTGATGCTTTAATTATTATATTTTGTTCTTTTTTATCAACCACTGAAGCTGCAATAAATAAAATTAAAAAAGGATAATTTCCAACTTTCAAATTGAAAGAGATAAAAAGAAGCCAGTAGGTTTGATTTTACAGACAGAAAATAAATGTATTATACTTGTAATATATTAACTCATTTATTTTCAAGAGGGGAAAAAAAAACAAAATTATTAATTTACCACTCCCAACGTTGCATTGTTCCACAGGTTGCATCATTATAGCTCACCAACAAAGGCAAAAGGACAATTATGCTTTTTCCTGCATATATGTGTGTGTTTAGTTTTCATTTTAGCAAATATATCATGAACCATTGAACAGATTTACATGAAGCTCAGAAAATAATAATTTGATGATCTCTCTTGTCCACTGTCATGGGGCGAAGAGGGGAATTGTAAATACCATCCATTTGTCTTGTGAGGTGGATAATTTGAAAAATAAGAGAGGTACCGACTTCCGTTTTGTTGTTTTGTTTCTGTTATGCCCCCTCAGAAAGAAGTAAACATCCCCCCCCCCAACCTCTCCACCGCGACTGTAAATAGTATGCCTATTGTTATAAGTATGCCTCTGCCTAACATTGTGTCCTTATTAACGTTAAAGAAAAATAAAATAAAAAAGAATATAGATCAATTTACAAGGAAGAACAAAGTTAACATTGTTTTTAAGTCTGTAACAGAAACAACTTAAAGTGCATCAATTTGCCTGAAAAAAAAATCATTTTATAAACTAAACATTTTGGACCATTTGATACTGAAAAATAAAATAAAATATATTCAATAAATAATAATAAATTCAAATTGATCAGCAACATTTTAGCTCAGGAGTGTTATATAAAACACTTTGACCTAAAAAAAATCTATAATGAATAAAACAATTTATGCTGATTTTTATTTTTATTTTTTTATCAAAATGAGGAAGTCAGGATCAAAGAGCACACTCATCAATAAAACAAAAAAATATTGTCAACATGAAAGAGGAAAAAAAAGGGAGCAGGTAACCCTCTCGCTTTGAGTTTACTCTGTCACTTTTTTTTTTTTTTTTTTGTCTTTCAGGTTCACCTGGACCTTAACCTGGACCTGCCATTCTGTGTTCGTCTGTCTCTCCTTCCTGTCCTCTCAAACCAGCCGGTCAAAGCAGATGGTCTCTTGTCCTGAGCTGGTTCTGCTGGAGGTTTCTTCCTTTTAAAAGGGAGTTTTCCTTTCCACTGTTGCCACTGTGCTTGCTCAGGATGGGAGACTGCAAAGAAGCCAAGATTCAACTTGTCTGCTGGATTCCTTAGAGAACTTTACTAATTGGCTTTTATGTGTTAATAAGAATAAAAGTTAAATAAAGTTAATATTAAGAATTAATTTTGTTAGCAAAGAATAGTCCTAACATTTATTAAACATTACTTCTGTAAATTGTGCTTTAAAAAACTCATCGATAAAACTAAAACATTTAGTCAACGCAAAAGAGGAAAGAGGGGTCAGGTGTCGCTCTTGCTTGAGTTTACTCTTTGTTGCATGCGAGCTGCGAGTGACGTCCAGAGCGCATGGACATAAAAACAGCAACGGAGGATGGAGGAGGTAACGGTCGGAGTTTATTTATCATGTCAGCAGCAGAGGGGAGAAACATGGTTCATGCATGGCTCCAAAACGACAAGGCAGTCATATTTGTTCATAACTTTATTATTAGGAACACACGCGACAAATGAGAATAGTTTAAAAAAAAAAAACTCCCTGTGGCAAAAACAGCATGTTTTCTAGGGTCACATGCACCCCACCTGGCATTGCCCCGGGCTCTCCCGGGGGGGGGGGGGGGGGGGGGGCACTATTTGAGAAGGACTGCTGTAGATTAACCTATGGTGGCTAAGGGCACCACTTACCACCCATTGCTCTGCAATTGTGCGTTGTCATGGATAAAATTTCTCCCTCCACTTGCTGGGATTTGTCACTTTGTGCAGCTTTAGACGAGATGCATCCCTCCCTCTGTTCTTGTCCACAGCGTAACTCCTACCTTCTTGAACATCTTGCACCAAAACATTAAAGTTCCTATTCGTATAGGCTTCTCCCTTTAGGGCTGTCGCTTGTGGGGTTTATCCCGTCACGCAAAGCGTCGCACTGAAAAAATTTAGTCCACGCCCACCTGTCGTGTGGGCCCCACCCGGTCCGTATAAATTACGTTGAGAGCGGGTAATCGGCTCCCATTTTTCTTCAGCAAGCAACTAGCACTGATCTTCCAACAACGTGATGTCCAGCACCAACACCATTCGCCTGTGCCCGTCCTGCAAGACTGGCTACATGCTGAGGTTAGACCGGCACAACACCTGCGAAGGATGCCTAGGTCCCCGCCATGCCGACCTTGCCTCCTCCTGCCTCCTCTGTGACCTCCTTCCCCCTGAGGAGAGGCAGAGGTGAGCAGCCTTGTTTAAGGCTAACATCGAGGAGTGCCTCTCCGTGGCGGGGGACTGCTCGCTGGATGACGCCATTGATTTTTTGACGCCGGGTCTCTGAGCGAATCGGATGGTTCCTCTGGGACAGGCGACGTCAGCAGCAGTCCCACTGCTCATTCCCTCCTGGAGAGCGTAGTGTTGGAATGGGAGGGGCCGAGCGGATGCTCACCCCTCCCAGGCCTTTCCGCATCAGCGACCACACCGCTTCCAGCCGTCTGTGCCCTCCTCTCGGTGCTGCCCGGCATAATCCAGGAGGCGGCTGACAAAGGGATTTTACATCCCTCTCCTTCCCCTGCCCAGATTGGATGATCTAGCGGGAAGGTTTGGCTCCACCCCGGCTCGCCACCCTGACCCCATCTGGCCTCGTTTCCCAGCAGTGACGTCCTACTGGAACGAGGCTGCGGCCGGCCCTGGTAAATTGAGAGCGCCCGTCTCCACTTTCGCGCCCATCACCAGAGTGGAGGGGTTTACTGAGCGGAATTTTCCTTCGGTACCCCTCCCGGAGCCAAGCCTGGCGGAAGCTCTCGGAGCAAAAGTGTCCAAGTTGGACCAGCGTCCAGCTCCTCCGGGAAAGCACGACCAGACGGTGACGTCACTCTCCAACCGAGCTCACCAGTGCGCGTTCCAGGCGGCCGTAGCGAACAACAATGTTGCTCTGCTGGCCTACAGCATCTCAGAGGCTGGAGGAAACAGACCTGCCTGAGGAGACAAAGAGCTCCCTCTGCAAGGCATCTGACGTCATCCTCAACCTGTGTGCCTCCTCTGCTGTCTGCCTGTCTCGCATTGCCGCCCGGATGACAATGATCCAGCGGTCCACCTGGCTTCGACACTCCCCCTCCTTGCTGGAGAAGCTGCAGAAAGACCTGTTGGAGGGCCCCATCACGACGGACGCGCTGTTTGGAGCCAATTTCAAGGCCATGCTCGAAAAATTGAAGAAGTCAGAGGAGGTGTCGGAGACTGTGTGCCACCTGATGAAGCCACACTCCTCCTCCCGCCTGCTGGAGGGATCATCGTGGCCAGAGGCAGCTGCAGAGATGCTCCACAGCTGCAACAGTGCTCTCCCGCCCCGCTTCGCCACCGGCCCCTCTGCCAGAGAACAGCCCTTCTCATCCAGTGGCTCAGCATCTTCCGCAGAGACTGCCAACAGGCTCCGCCCTGGAACAACCAGCCGCAGGGCTCACGGGGGAGAAGATTTAAGAAATTACTCCTTGCAGAGGATGTGTGTGTGCTTAATGATGGCTTGAGTTTTGAAATAAAATGAAAACATCATTCAGATAATAAAGTGTCTGATTTCAGCTTGACTGTCAGTTTGAATGATCTCACAGCGGCTTTTCTGCACACATCCTCCACACAAAACGAGCCGGTGTCCTCAAACAGGTTTTTAAAAAGTCACTGCAGCTCGAGAAAACACACGGCAGCAAAAAATGAATTTTTTCGGCAGACCGAGTCCAGGAGAAAATCTCGCTCTCAGCCCAGGGTGTGTTCTACCCCTTCTGACCGCAGCGGAGACAAACGTGTGTCCCCGCAGCGGCGACAGCCCCCACCCAAGCGATGTCGCATCGCTGAGGGCGCGCACGCCTCCCCTCAGCGCACGTCAGCCTGCAGCCTGAGTGTGGCACAGAGGCTTTTGACTTCCGTAAGTCATGACGCATCACAAAGACGCGTGCCTGCTCCCAGAGCGTTACGCAGAGTGGCAGCAAGCGTGCTCCCTGAACAACATTCCAATCATTCCAAAATGCAGAAAGTTCCTGCACTTCTCCTTTCAAGGGACCCTGTATCGGCACAACCTGGGCTTCGCCATAAACTGGGAGAAGGGCTCTGTTCTTCCGGCCCAGATGATCATTTTTCTGGGAGTAGAGCTAAACTCAGTCACTATGAGGGCTCGTTTATCGCAGACAAAAAACGAAACTCCAAAAGACCAGCTCCGCCACGTAAAACCGGGCAGAGTAGTGACGGCTGTTTCCATCATGAAACTGTTGGGAACAATGTCGTCAGCTCACACGGTGCCTCCATTGGGTTTACTCCACATAAGGCACTGCCGGAGATGGTCCGCTCGCCTGCGCATAGATCCAGTAAGGCAAGAGAGGCGGATGATCTCTGTGCTCCCCTCCGTGGGAATCGACCTGAGACACTGGGAAAATCCCCTCACTCTGTCGGAGGGAACCCCTATCAGCAGGCCTACGTCACACGTCTCAGTTTTCACAGACACGTACCTGTCAGGTTGGGGAGGAATGTGCCCGTCTTGGGCTGTGGGGGCGCTGTGGCCACATCACACAGCTGCTCGTATAAACGTTTTGGAATGCCGCACAGTTTTGAATGCGATTCAACTTTTTGTTCCGGTGTTGCGGAATCAAAACGTTCTGATTCACACAACCAACAAAGTGTCTGTAGCGTACATAAACCGGCAGGGGGGCGTGCGCTCAGCCCAAATGCGAGGCAGCTGCTGTGTTGGGCACACAAAAACCTGCTCTCCATCATAGCAGTGTACATCCCCGGCGTCTTGAACAGAGGAGTGGACATAATGTCCAGGGGCGGTCCGCGCCACGAGGACTGGAGCCTCCATCCTGAGCTGTTGTCTCGGACGTGGGAGAAATTTGGCAGAGCGGCAGGGGACCTGTTTGCCTCACGGGAGAACACCCAGTGCCAACTATGGTTCTCACTTAGCCCACGGAACGAACCACCGTTAAAAGTGGACGCGTTTGCCCACAGCCCATTGCCCAACATGCTCTTTTACGCTTTTCCCCCAGTCCCTCTAATATCACGGTTTCTGAACTGAGCTTGGGAGAAAGAACTGTCAGCCATTTTGATAGCCCCCGAGCGCGTGAGCGCCCCGTGGGCTCCAATCCTGCGACGTCTGTTATCGGGTCGCTTGTGACAACGGCCGTGGAGGAAGGACACTCTCCTCCAGGCGGGTGGAGCAATCAGGAGTTACCCAGAAATAGGCCAGCACCTTTGGGTCTGGCCGCTGAGCGGATCCGCTTAGAGAGGATGGGTCTCTCTCAAGATGTAGTGCACACGATCCAGGATTCACGTTCTTCCTCCACCACAGCGCTGTACATATCAAAGTGGACAGCTTTTCAGCGCTGGTGTACAGAGAAAGGGTGTAGAGGCCACCTCATGTCCACTAGGTGGCGTGCTGTCCTTTCTGCAGCAGCTGATGGACAGAAATCTGGCGTTCAGCACAATTAAAATGTATGCTGCAGCCATTTCTTCCAGTCACAAAGGCTTTGGTGAAAGAACAGTTTTTAATCATCCGCAGATGAAGCGTTTTCTAAATGGTTTACAGAGGCGCAGACCTGTGTCACGCCCATTTACTCCTCAGTGGGACTTAACAATGGTTCTGTAGGCCTTGATCAAAGCTCCTTTTGAGCTGTTAGGTCAGGTTTCGATTAAATTCTTGTCACTTAAAACAGCCCTGCTGTTGGCCTTGACATCTGCAAAAAGAGTGAGTGATTTATCTGCCCTCTCTGTTGCTCCGTCATGCCTCAGGATTCAGGCTGATGGCAGTTCAGCTGATCTGAGACCTAACCCAGCGTTTATGCCTAAAAACATCACAAACTTATTTAAATCGAGGATGATAACATTGGAGGGTTTTTTCCCTCCTCCCCACATATCAGAAGAAGAAGCATCTTTTCATCTCCTCTGCCCTGTGCGTGCGTTGACATGTTACGTAGCACGCACGGCTACACTGCGTCAGACTCAATATTTGTTTGTGCGTTATAGAGACGCCTCTGCAGGTAGCCCGTTATCCACCCAGCGCCTGTCACACTGGCTGTGTGAGGCCATTTCTGAAGCTTACAGAGCATCAGATTTAGAGCCCCCTGACAACCTCAGGGTGCACTCGACCAGAGGAATCGCATCCTCGACAGCCTTGCATTATGGTATGACAATGCAGGATATTTGCACTGCGGCCGCATGGTCATCACCCTGCTCATTTATTTGCTTCTATCTGCGTGATGTGTCTGCTCGCTCCATGACGCATTCTGTTCTCAGCGCCTTAACAGAATGAATCTCATTGTTTTCATGGAACTTGGCTTAAACTCACAACTGACTGCATGCAATTATAGTGTGAGATATTTATCAGTCACAAGTTTGTGACTGTTGATTTTTGTTCTAATGTCACTAATCAGTTCATGAATACTGTTACCAATCAGTTCATTTGATTACTAATCAGTTCATTTATTTTTGAATCTGTTCACTGTTTTTTCAGCCTCTTCCATTTTTCCCGTCGAAAACTTTTCTCTCCGGGCGCCCGGGCGCCCATGTACACGGAATGCGTAAATTACGCAGCGCGCATCTGTACATGGTGCACGTAATTACGCAGCGCGTATTTACGCACATGGAGGGCTGAGGTATAAAATGTTTTTTTACTGCAAGCGGGCGCTTCATACGGTGTTAGAATGGACCCAGTGAGGCTGAGACTACATCCTGCTTCGCCCTTAACCCACAAGCGACAGCCTTAAAGGGCGAAGCCTATACGAAATAGAACGTTTGTTATGTACTGTAACCCCAGATTCTATGAGTATAGGCGTAGCCCTTTAAGCACTGGGCCTCACTGGCTCCTAAATGGCTGAAGAAAAAAAGCTATTTGGGAGCCGATTACCCGCTCTTAACGTAATTTATACGGACCGGGTGGGTCCCACACGACAGGTGGTCGTGGACTAAATTTTTTCAGTGCGACGCTTTGCGTGACGGGATAAAACCCACAAGCGACCGCCTTAAAGGGCTGCACCTCTACTCATAGAATCTGGAGTTACAGTACGTAACCAATGTTTATTTACGTTCTATGTTCAATTCCAGTCCAGAAAAACACTCATGTTGAAAACTACAAAACATTCACTATGGGGAGGCTGTGGCTGAGTGATTAGAGCAGTCGTCCTCCAATGCAAGAGTTGGGGGTTCAAATCCACCAGCAGTCACATGTCCAAGTGTCCCTGGGCAAGACACTGAACCCCTTGTTGCCTCTGATGTGTGTCCCATCAGTGTGTGAATGTGACCTGAAGCACTGATTAGTCTCTTTTAGAATGATTTGTTCAATTAGCTTTGTATAGATCTAGTAGAGTGCTGTATGAATGGGCAAATGAGGACACAGCTTGATGTAAAGTGCATTGAGTATCTCGATAAGATAGAAAGGTGTTATATAAGTACAGTCCAAATCCCTCGGTGATGGGGACATTGGCATACTAATCTCATAAACCACTGGCTGTATTTCATGAAATTCAGAAAGGAATCATGGGACGTTTGTCTGATTAGTTTTTGGAGTCAACCTAAGTTATGATGGCCACCACAGCTGATTGACTTAACCTACACAAACATGGCTTTTACTCATTAAACTTTACAGATATTGAGCTAAAGTTTGATCTGGTTGTAGCTGAATGTCATTCTCAGAACATATTCTGTCAGCAGATCTTGCAATATTGCATGTGACTATTACTTTATACACTGCACAAGGTGTAACTTTAACAACTAAAACTCTGTTCATCACAAGATGATTTTAGTTTATATTTAGTGCAGCAAGCAACATATGTTTTTTAAAGAACACCAAGTCTTTAATTTAAAGTTGTAGTTTTATGGGAGTAATTCTGGTGGAGCTGGATAACTTTACTCTGAGCTGAGCTTATAACTAAACAGTTCAAAGGCTGTGAATAAATCAATTTAGAACAAAGTGACAGGGTCTTATTAGAGTTTGAGTCTGTTGTTCCTTTACTCACCCAAACAAATGCTGTGAAGCACAGAAAAGGCGTTTTTATTTAATGTTCACATTGTCTGGATGAATTCACTGTGAAGTGTGAAATGAAACTCATATAATCCTCATGTGGTTTCTCTAACATATTTCTGATTAAATCCATCATTCATCCACATTGCTCTGCACTTGCTACTCTTTCATTTTAGAGAAGTTATACCTCTTGTCTTTGAAAAAGAAAATCCTCTTTTCACTTCCATTTGAATGTCTTTCTATAATCTACCTTAATCTCCCTCTATGTGGCACCACAAGCTCTTGGTTCCAAAACCTGCTAAACCAGTGGAAGGATGTGAATAAGCAAGTTAATCTTGTTGGAAAATGATACATGCTTTTATTCTTCTTGTACACTGGCATGTGTCTGGGTATACCCACCAGGCTCGCTCTCTGTTCCTTTCCAGATATTGATTTGGAGAATATTGTCTACTACAAAGATGACACCCACTACTTTGTCATGACTGCCAAGAAGAAGAGCTTGCTGAAGAAGGGGGTCATTAAACAGGTGAGAACAACACATCCAGTATATAGGAAAAAAATGTGATTTTTATTTTTTGTTTATTGTTACAAGCTGCGGCCCTGGCCATTAAAAGAAAAAGACGTGGAGTGTGGTTTGTGTGTGCACAGAAATCATCAGTCATCTTTCTCTGACTTCACATGTCTAATACAGGAAGCCAAGTTAAAGAAATGTCACTCTGTCAAAAAGGCTGAGTTTTTGTTTAGAAGCCTCCTCTCACTTTGTATCTGCAGGACTACAGCAACGCAGAACAGCTGCTGGCTCCTGCAAACGTGGATCATGTCGCTTTGTGCATTTATGCTCATGATGCTGCGTACTTCTCCACTGGTGGCAAACTGTCTGACCTCCAGTTTGCCCAGAATCATGCAGGCCAGTCAGATGTGGCCATGTTCGACTTCACCTGCATGCACCGCTCTGAGAATGCCTCTCATGTCCGTGAGAGGAGGGGCAAGAAGCTGTTGATAGCTCTTGTTGGAGACTGTCTGGTGGAGGTAAATGGCTGCTGCATAAAGTCATTTGTTGTTGGGTTTTTTTGTTACCAATCTTAAATGTTCTTATAACAGGGTTCATAGTGACTCTGGAAATCAGGGAAATCCTGGAAAATTATGTTCGTTTTCCAGACGAGGAAAATTCAGGAATTTGAACACTGATCTGATTAAAAGTGTGATTTTGACATGTACTCTATGTAAGTAATCATGTAGTAATGCTAGTATTCTAGCGTTATTGAGTCCATGTTCTACTCAGTGTACATAGTGCATGTGTCCCTACTTATTGGCTGTGGTGGCTTTTTAGTGTCTGAATGTTATACAATATAATTACCGGTAATTATTAGGATAGTTTGCTGTATGCACGTACCGTAGACTACAGTACATTTACCGTCATCTCTGGATGTGACTCTGCCCGGCAGTAAGTTCAGAGCATTTTGGGTGACTAAAATATCTCCTGAAATTTTAGGATTTACTCTGGGAAAAATCAGGGAATTTTGTTTTCATGAAATGCTGAAAACCTCATAAAACTGTAGACATTTGTGTAGTGGACACAAGTGTTGAGCTGTTATCCTGTGAATCATGACTTTTATGAGATCCCTGACTTTATTGAACATGCAACATATCAAATGTTTCTCTTCTAAAAAATCTGGAACAATGAAGTGTGTATTCAGTTTTAGTGTTGGTTTGTTTTCAATAATACAAGAAGTAGCTGTAACCACTGGGGCCCTCTGTTCTTGATGTGTCACTGTGAAGCCTCATGGTGTGTTTAAACCTACAACTGACCAAATCAGAACAAGAAGGGAAAACAAGGAACTAAAACCTGAACATCTATTGGAGAGCAAGTACCTTTTTTTATCATAGGTTGAATATTACGTTATTTATAGAATAACAAATATAATGTAATAATAATAATAAATATTAGGCCTGGTCCGGTTGTTTATAGGTGGCAGTGGTGCAGTGGTGGGGTAGTCTACTTGTGACCTGAAGTTCGTGCCTGCTTGTCGTTATAAGACACCCATTCCCTATCTGTTTCCGGGAGCTTACATGGCTGCTTGCTCTTCACTTCCTTTTTCTTTTCAATGTGATCCTTGAGCCTTGCATAAAACTGACTGGAAACCACTCATAACAAAAATTAGACTACGTTCATGAGGAGCTGATGATGGAGCACCCCGTGGCAGGCATTTACTGTTTGTTTCTTTAAGTCTGATGCTTCTGGTCCTGTGCTCTCTGCAGCCCTTCTGGCCTCTGGGGACAGGCATAGCTCGTGGATTCTTTGCTGCCTTTGATACAGCGTGGATTGTGAAGAGCTGGGGTATGGGTGTCCCACATCTAAAGGTCCTAGCTGAGAGGTAAGTCGAGCTGTATGATTCATACTGTTACACTTTTTCCATCTTGAAAAAAACATTAATTTATAAACATGAATATTTGGCATTGAAAATGCTGTAAATATTTTTCTAAGAACTAGTCCACCTGCATGGTTGTCTAATTAAACAAGTATTTTCACTTTGAGAGAAATAAAGTGCTTTTGATTTGAATAATTAATAGAAATGCCAACAGTTCTACAAGAATTAGCATACGTTTTAAATATTTTAAGATCTTATTGATTCCATAAGGCCAACAGTCAGCCATCATTGTCATTGATGTTGGTTTATTATCACCAGCCACTGTGCTAAAGTGTGGTAGTAGTAGCTGAGAATCCTTCTTGACCTTCGGGGCCGAGATGGGGTAGAGGTAAGGCAGCTGATCTGGGACTAGAAAGTTGTGGTTCGACTCCCGAACATTCCCACATGTCATGGTGTCTCTGAGCAAGACACCTAATCCCTAACTGCTCCCCGAGCGCTCAATAGCTGCCCACTGCTCCACCTGGGTGCATCTCAGGCGTGATGGGTTATACTCAGAGAATTAATTTCATCGCTGTATGGTAACATACAATGATAATATTCCCTTCTCAACACATTATGTGAGCGCTGACAGATCTAGTGACATAATAAAATTTACAAAAGTGGACTGAAATGACTATAACTCCATCCCTTCATAGCCTGAAATGATTTTAGTTTAAAACTCGTGCATGAAAGGTGGCAGCTGATATGATGTGCTAAACTTTTAATTCTGAAAGAATTTTGATATAATTGTATTGACGTTTTTGATTTTTTTTTCCCCCTGTTACTATCGTCATAAATGTACAGAGAAAGTATTTACCAGCTCCTCTCCCAGACCACACCTGAAAACACCAGCAAGAACTACTCTCAGTACAGCATCGACCCTAAAACACGATACCAGAGAGTCAACCTGTCGTCCATCCAGGCTCACCAGGTCAGCTTTCTTATCCTTTATTTACTCAACAGAAACTCTTAAGCATTTTGAAGGTCATTTAGAGCAACAGATTACAATCTCGCAGAAGCAGAGCTTAGTGTCACTGTGTTGAAATTGCTCAGTAAAACAGGATGCAATCTGTCACAATCTAAATAATGAGACTGAAAGACGAGCAGCATGCCTCAAACTTGCTTGGCTTCAATTTATCCCATATTTTATATAATCGACTGAAGCCTGTGTTTGATCTTAAAAATGCTGACTGGTCTTTCAATCTTTAATTTAGGTCCAGCACCTATATGATGGTGATAAAACCCGTCCATCCAGCACAACACAGGACAGCCAGTGTGTCATGCGTCGAGGTGAGTCATCCCTTTGTGCAGATGTTAATCTTTACCCTGTTGAAGCACAACACGCTGCTTACTGCACAGGCGTGTAACTCAGAACTGTTTTTAACATGTTTGTGCATTTGTTCCTCAGATCCAGCCAGTGGTTTTGAGGAGTTGTTGAAATGGTGCGTGAAACACACCAACGGCCATAAGAACGTGAATGTAAAAGATTTTACCCAATCCTGGAGGTCCGGGCTGGCTTTGTGTGCTCTCATTCACCACTTTAGACCCAAGCTGATGTAAGTTGTTCCTTTTGCTTTAGCAGAATTTTACAGAAAGTTAAATATACATTTAGGGTTGCTGATGAGTTCATGTTAAATGTCCTGAGTCATGTTTAGTGACACTGACACAAAATATAAAAAAAATCTTCTCAATTTACTTGTGCTATACAGAGAAATTTCTACACTTCATCACTTCACATAATCTTTTATTGCAAAATCTGTTGGAGTCAAACATGTTTGTTAACAAAACATCTCATAAACAACTGGATGTATTTCAGTGACGCACAAAAAGCTGTTGCATATCTACAGCTGATAGAGCCAATTCAAGATGGCCACCACAGCTAATTGACTTTAGATGACACAGAAATGGCTCGGTCAGTTTTACATATGTTGAACTATAATTTGGTGTGGTTGTAGCTTGGCCTGTCGCAAAAACAAATCAATTAATCGCATGACAAATGAAAATTATTGACCTAGTTTTCATTTATCGGCTTTATCGTTTCTTCGTGTCTTTCTACTGAAGACACTGGATGATAAACGGCTCAACTCAGGTGCTCTTCACTGACCCCTCCCTTTCTCTTTTCTCTTTAAAATCCTTTTTAACAATCCAAAATTGCGTTTTTAGATCGTTAAAAGCAGCTAAGCTACGAGTTAAGCTAAACGGCCGACCTCTGGGAAACAACCTCCGTCTTGTTGAAGCTCCAAAATTCACGGTTGAAACACGTGCCTTCGTCTAAAATGTTATTCTCTGCAAAAAGAAGCTGATTAAAAAAATAATAATTTTTATTAAAAGCTTTTGTTTGAAAAATGCAATGCTAAAGAGCTCAAACTACACTGAGAGTCCGCCATTTTGAGAACGGAAGAGACAGCCCATGTCACATCAAGGGGCTTCCCTCCCATTTTTTTTAAAGAGACGCACTGCTCCTCCCTCACTATCCATCCTTCAGTTCAAACAGTCTTATACTGCCATCCATTGGTCAAAAATGATACTACACACAAAAATTAACCAAAATTTCTTCAATTTGATGTTATTAATTATTGTCAATTTTCAAACAATATTATCGTTTATCGCAATAATTTCTGAGACAGTTAATCACCCGGCAAAGTTTATCATGACAGGCCTAGTTGTAGCTAGGGATGCACCGATCCACATTTTGTAACTTCAGATCTGATCCCAATACCTAAATCTGGATATCGGCCAATCCCGATCCCGTTCCAATCTCATCATTATTGATTTTATATGAGGCTGTAATAATCTCCTCCCTACAGGCAAGTACAATTTGTACAAATATATGCATGTCCAAAAAGGCAACATGAGGTAAGTTTTATTGATGTTGGATAAGTTTCAAAGGTAGAATTAAATCCTGCTAACACAAAACATGATCTTTTTTTATTCCTAGCTTTAAAGTGGATATTAAAGTGATTAAATGGCTTTAAACATCTGCTAAGTTCATGGCACAAACCAACACAAACCTGTTTCTGTTTTTAGTATTTCAAATCACTATATAATGTGGTTGTTTTTGTTTCATTTTTTTAAATATAATTTTATTGTAATTTTCAATTTATATGCTTTTTTATGATTGTCTACTGTTGTACTGATATCTCCTGGAGGGTAAACTATATCTTGGCTGCAAGTACCAAGCAGAGAAATCATTTGTTTTCTACAACTGATAGCGGTTGGTCATTAATTATGATGTTTAGCAACTTTTCGGTAAATATTTGAGCTCCGGTGCTACCTTTACTGCAGTTTAATGTGGTGCTATGGCTCTGCAGACAACATTGCACGTTGCTGTCTTGTTTTGTGGTGTTTCTAGTGTAAAATACTTCCACACAGCGGACATGTTTA